TTGCTCATGAGACCACGCATAACACAGGGTCTGCGTACCGTTCTCAGCAGCGGTCACTTGAATTGGGACTTCAGACGTGAATTACAGGCATCGTACCACTGATGTCAACAATTGGAAAGCCGACCGGATTGCTTAACACAGCCACCGCTGGTAAAGTACACATATCACTGTCCCGACCTTTGTTTGTGTATAGATGGTGGTGAAGCACGGAGTCCACTTTTCTCGTTATTTTCCTCTCGTCCCCACGTCGGTAAGGGAAAAAGAGAGAAAGGGGTGAACAGAGCAAACTTGAAGCGGAGGAAGAGGTGACAGGGGATGCGTGCAGGGTCGTCCAATAAATTTAGAACGATTGGCCCTCTCAAGTCGCCGAGCGATGCAACGGCTATGGCAGCCATGACGACAGCCCTAGACGACTCGATGTGAGATAAGGTTTGGGGGCCGACGAACGAGCTAGCAGTAAACTCGTCCAACAGCAGTCCTCCTCAGCCGAACGGCTGAAACAGAGCCCTAGCGATTCTCAGGATAGAAGACTGCCAGGAGATCCCCGCTGCGGTACGTCGGCGTTTCGGCCCGAATCCGTTAGGGTTCTGATTTACTACAAGCATTTAAACGGTCATACGTAAACGACATTCTGATCGAACGAGGGCGCCCATACATTTGTAGATACCGCATTTCGGCTTCATTTTGTGTGGAAAGTCTCGCAATATTTGAACATCTTTGGATCTGGATTTTGTAACGATTATGTTCTGTGCAATACTGTTATTTTATTTCTTCTTGTGTTTACTACTATTGCCAGAAAATTATCGTATATATATATATATATATATATATATATATAGTCTGAAATTTGCTTCATATTTAATTCATTGTGGCAGTTTTTTGCGCCGAGCGCATTTTGTCTGACATGGCGATTTTCTCTAGAATAACTGGTCTGACACGATGATAGATAAGGTTATAGCGTCTGCTACATAGCAGTTGAAAACGCGTGAATAGATAAATTGAAAGCACAAGATTGTGAAGATCAACGATCTTAAGCAACATTTTTTGATCAGGAACAATGCATTTGCATTTTTTAATCGATACGTTTGAAAAGAGGCGTGTGAAGGCAAATGAATTTTCACGCTACTACACGGATGATATTCGGTCGTAGCACCTTGAACTCTATGGTAATACTTTAAAGTAAAACGTAGCTTGTTGTAGAGCGTACATATTTCGGTCCTGCGACTAATACAATTCAACGAGTCAATGCTTTAGTAGTGAACTAACAGATGTGGCTCTGAAGTTGGCTTTGGGGTACCGTTTCATTTAGCCTTCACGCACAACTCAGCCGTCCTGGCTAGATTGAAAATTTAATACAGATAACGTTTTGGCCTTTTCATAAAACCTATTTAACTGTGCTAATGAACTATATTAGCTCGATTATCCATTGACTTGTCACACTCTGCGATGTGATGCGCCTCGGCTTATTGGTTATAACGCTTCTCAGTTAGAAATTTCCCAATATCTCTGTATTAAATATCAACGATTTTACGTGCTGCTGCGTATTTTTCGAGTTCCACAAAACTCGGCGGTTAAAGGAAATCTGTAATTTTGAACACTTCAGTTCGATCGCATTTCCTGGACACGGCTGTGTGATAGGCACTATAAGTCAGCAATAATGCAGAAGTAGTTCGGTCTATCTGGCCCGTTGTTCACGTAATGTATAGCTACTGCTTTCTGTTCACTGGTCTCCAGGAGAAATAAAGTTATAACGATAGTAGTAATATAACTGCTATGGCAGTGGCATTTCCTCCTTTGACATCCCCTCGCCTGCGACCAGAACGCAATGTTCGTATGTTCATCCCCCAAAACCCGCTGCTGTCAGCAGGGAGCGTTTCGTTAGGGGCTAAAAGGCAGCCGGACCGAATCGGTTTAGCAGTTTGCCGCAACACAACATCCTCTGGCTCCTGCGCTGCTTCGGCCGTCACTGCAAAAGACGCAACGATACAATAGTTGCACCAAACAGGTTTGCAGTCTTGGGCCTATTCGTTCGTCTTTGGCCTTCGCACTAGAGGAATGGCGAGAAGCTAACTCTGGACGTTCGAAACGATGTAGATAGACGAAATGATGTAGATGTTACCGCGTGTCGTTAGGAGAGCAACAAACAAGAAATTCTGCTGCTACTCGGGCTGCAGTTTACAGCTTTAGAATGCACAACGACGCCATCGTGAGCTATGGGTACTACTCATAATGACAGATGTTGAAGCGGTCGTTCTGAAAATACGGGTCAGACCGCTAGCTGATCGTCTGACTCGAGTGGCTGATTTGTCCCTAGCCGCCACTGTGTAGTGTAAAAGGAAACATTACAAAAAGAAGACCCTAAAGAAAATGAACGAATACAGGCTGACGGATTAGGATTGATCGATCATGGCAAATTTAAATGCATTATATATATGTATATACACATGTGTGTGTGTGACGTATTATAAAATCAGTCTGTTTAAGATTCGCTTTTTAGCATACGGAAATGTACAACAGTAGTCAGTACGGACGATTGCGCGTATATCAATCCTTTGGAGGGATTAACAAAAAAAAATAGGACATTAATAAAACTTTTTTCCATAAAATATACTCCTGTCTCGATATAGCTTTGACCGTGTGACTGTAAGTTAGAGACAACGGGGCGCTTTTTGTCTCACCACTTTGACAGAGGGCATACTTTACTTCGCCGTCGAATAGACTCAAGGTCAGCACGATTATTTCTACTCGAAAATGCTCTGGTTGTCGGTACTTATGAAGATCCCAATACTCCAACTCTATCGATGAGTACGATGATAACACTTACTAAAACCCTATGATGTTGAGCTTCCAAGCATTAAAACAAATTATCTCGATATCAATCCTGCTTGATCCAGCCATTTATCAAGGCGGTTAAATAGGTTAATAGTGAATTCCTATAAACGTCTAGTGAACCCATTCGAGAAGTTTTCAACAGATTTTTTTTGCCCTCGTTTGAAGGCCGATACGGCCGGTTCTAGCACTCTGTCGAAAAAATAGGCGATCATGGAGAAATATTCAGTAGAAAAAAACACCGGACCGCACCGTTGTACACCCATAGCTCATACTCAAAAACCAATACTTTCAGTAGAAGGCTGTACCCATCAACGATATGGGCAAAACTTACCGTCGATATGTCAATATACAACAGAAACTACATATAAGCCGTTCGCCTTGTGCAGACAACATTATCAGTGAACACCTGAGTATTTCGATTCTTCCGGACACCTGACAAATTGTACAATGCGTGATAAGTGCAGCTCAGGTTAGATAGACTATAGAACGAGAATCTAGTTGAAATTTTTCTCAGCATGTGGATATATTTGAAGAAAGACAAAGAATGTACAACCTAACTCCGTAAAATATCAAATATGTGAAGCGTACGTATATCGCTCGAGTTTTTTTTTTTTTGTTTTAAATCAAACCGGCGAGCAGTATAGTTCAAGGATTGAAATTTTACTGCAGTAATCACTTATCTATAGGTTATGTATCGTAATACAATTAAGAGTTTTTGGCAAAAACATAAGTAAAAACGCGCCGTTAATATCCTGTGTTTCGTTGATCCTTGCGCTGGCAGTACTGAAAACGTGTTGATGGCTTCAACGGTGATGTTAATTGGGTTATACTGCCTTCTATCACCACACAGCCCAAGATCAAAGTACATTTGGAGTTCTTTTATGGGCTGTCGGCTCACGTATGTCAGTAAAGAGCTCAATAACATATTTCACTTATTTGAATTCACTTATCATTTCAACACGAAATAAAGTTAATTTATGCAAGTCATTCACGTATCAGTATTCATTACTGAAGTTACGCAATTTCGACACACGATACACGTCCAACCTCGATTCATTTTCTGCTGATGGATAGTGTTAATGTGCTAATTTAATTAACTTGAACTTCCCGGCAGTACTCAAATACGTATGCACCTTTGCTAACATAGAGCCTCTAAATTAAACAGTTCTAGTAGTAACGAGATGCCCTGCCGATCAGCCTGTCGGAGTAAGTATAAAAATATACTTCAATACTATAGGTTACCAAAGAATATCTTTTTTTTAGATATCCAAGAATGTAATTTTTGTAACAATGCAAGATTCGAAACGCTTACTAGTAAGTTGCTAAAATATACTGAAACTGTTATGGTTTTATCTGCCCGGTTTACCTGCCCGAAGATTTCCATCGTCCTGTCGTTACAAAAAATCCATATTCACATTTTTTATATAAATAATTGTTATTATGAAACATGCATTACCTAGTCATGGCCGCTTTTTTGTTGTTGTGTCCCATGTTCGGATTTTCTTTAGCGGATTGGTGAATCAGCTAGATCAAAGGTTACGTGGTTCAAGAACTCTTGCAGCTGGACCCACGAAACGGAGCAGGTATACAAAGAGCGGAACGGCGGCTTACACCGATGGCAATTATGATACTACTCCAAGTGACAATACAAGTTATTCAGCCGACTTCAACCACTAGACCTGCTACTATTTCGCGTGGCATCAGCTGAATAATTCATCAATTCTCGATTAACTTTATTTTCGTTTGCCCATAATCTCACGCTCGGTTTATCCTGAGATGGTCCACGGACCCTTCGTTTTCAGTGGTTTTGCTTATGGTTTTTATTTCCAGTAGGCTCGTCCAGCTCTACCGTGAAGATCCTATGTTATAATACAGCTTGACGTTATCAGTCAGCGCTAAATTCCTTTTTTGCTATTGACGCCATCTTAGATTAAAAAGAACCTTATATGTTGTACAAAGTTTTTGAAAAAATTCTAGCAGAACAATTATTACCTATTATCTAAGTAGGTTCTGTGAAAAAATCGCCGTCGTTTAGCACTAACAAGCGATATCTGAGATCTCTTGTATTCTTAGAAAAACATGGCAATACAATTAAGACTTGTCATCAGTGAGTTTTACTTGAATAATTCTAATGTGTGAAAACAATGAAGTGAAACTAGTGGCAGATTTGCAAATTTTAAAGAAAACCTTCGACCTGCGTAGTCTAGTGCCTGCTGACAGATACGCGGGAAAGCTCTGAAGCTCTATTAGTCCAGTTATCAACTGTCAGAAAAACATTTGGGCCATCCCTTTCTTCTATCACTCAAGGTTTGTTGTCAGTAACAGCCAATAGTTATCACTGAACGATGGCTGAGATTTTGCGTACATTACATTTAATCGTAGGGCACGTAGGCTTTATCATGGCCAGACAGGCTTCATTCTATGGGGCTTGAGGAGGCCAATGCATAGAATCTGTATATAGGGTACCTGCAATAGATTGCGACAGTTTAGGGGAATCGGTTATTTGTAGCCGCCATTAGTTCATCTACTGCGATTAGTGCAAAATCCATCATGGTGGAGGTTGGTTACTCGCGTTTGAAGTAGAAACTCAACACCAGCTCTTCGTTGTTGTGAACGCATCATTGCATAAAGCACCCCTTTGAAACTTTCGTTAAATTAAATCGTGTATACCTTATTGTATTATGATGATTTCTCAATTAATTAAGAGGGTACGAAAAAGACAATCCATGAATAATTAATATATCGAATGGAAAACATGAGGGACTATATGTTTCTTAAGAAGATAACACATCCGTTTGTACGAAACACAAGTGCAGGGCCGGTTAGCGCCATTATCGAAGCGAATGATACTAATATTGACCAAATCCGCCTGTGAAAGATTTTTCTATCGACATATAGGCATAATACTTCATCCACATAACTTTTTTTTTTTAGAGAACAAGCGAAATGAAAAATGGTGCCAATATACCGTTGCTATTTTGAACCCTGTTAACGATAAGTCTTTAGCTTTTAAAGGAAACCGGACATACCTTTATTGCTATTCGAGTCAAAATCACTTTTACTTAATGAATAAATTGTTTTGACCCTCCAGCTTTGAGGCTGCATAATTATCATTGTACCATTCACTGTCCTACATTTTTTTGAAAACATCAAACTGCAACATATTATAGCATATAAATCACTAGCTAATTTCTACATTGTTGTCAATCTATTCGCATAGAAACCGTTAGGCTGATTAGGTGTTTTAGTATGATCATCAACAAGATCAAACGGCTGTCTATGACGCAACAGTCGGCAGATGATGTATTCATATAACCGGAAGCCGTTTGCAATACACAAACAAATGTTTGCAATACACAAAAGTGATAAAGAAAGTTTTCTCGTTTTTTTTTTTTGCTGCATAGAAAACACCGCATTTTTTATTACTTTTTTATACGTTTTTTGTTATTATCTTATGTGTCTCCCGTGGTTGCTTATGACGTTCTTTCATCATTTTACTGTATAATATATGCAGACTCGCTAGAAGGTAGCGAGTTTCGTCTCAAAGAAGCTTTCCAACCATGTTTTGAGTTCTTGGTCCATGTCGAATGTAAGTGCTATGGAGGTGATTGCCCAGTGAATGGGAACGGTGAAATCCTGTCGGGGCAGGGTCCGGAGGATATGGAAGCTACAACGAAACCTCCCATTTGGAATCCAGGAGGACACCTTTGACGGTGATTGTCGATCTGACTTGACGTTCTCATGAAGCAGAATAACCTGACCTCGTTTATCGGATCTTTTCTCCTGAATAGCCTGGTTCGCTTGATGTAAGTGGGCCATATAAATATGCCTGTGAGCTCTCTGGTTTGTCGGGACTCATTCCAACTGTATCAGCCTTTGGGCCCACCAAACGCCAAACGTAACCTTTTTTGCATGACTATCTTGTCGGTTTGAGCTTCTTTCCTAGTGCCACCCATTCCGTTCTCTATTTCAAGTTGACATACCAACACCACTTCTTACCCCCCGGTGTGAGTCGGGGAGTCCATGAGGTACCCAGGGTTGAAACCTTCGTGTAAATCCAGAAGACAGAAGGTAGTTAACGATGATCGTATAACTGCAGCCCATATTTTCGGCCAATTGACAAGTTATGTGTCAGCCGTATTTCTTCAGAGGTGTCTTCAAATTATCGTCATCAAGTTTGGACGGGCGGCCAAAGCAGGAAGTATCTTGTAGGTTGCGGATATCGTTTTCAAATTTGCTAAACCACTTTCGAGTGAGCCTCTTAATAATAACGTTGCTGTACACAGGGCATATGATCCGGGCTATTTCGGCAGCGTTTTAGCTTCGATGAAATGCATAGTACAGTAAACAGAAAACGAAAGCGACACAGTAGAGAGACTTTCTTCAACTTTTTAGCAAGCAAACGAGTAGTGATCAGAGAGACCTTCGTCTAAATTGTAACATGATTTACTTAAGGAGTTGGCTCGAGGAAATGGGGCTCACCTAGAAACCATTAGTGAGTCTAAAACTGGCCTATGGAACAACCGGCAAATGACATGGACGCCTCAATGGCGCAGCACGCATTAAAAACAGAGGAAGCGCTGCAACGGGTAGCGGAGCGGGTGAGGGTTTTCCCTATGCATGCGGCATCGGTAATATGGAGCTTAGAGGACAGATGGAATAGGTCGGCAACTGCTAGAGTTGATGGTCAGGCAAAGCCTGACAATGCCAAACAGAGGCGGCGTGCTAATTTCTCAGGGCCAACTTCACCTGAATTCCTCTTTCATAGATCTCACGATATGCCAGGTGGATCAGGTGGCCAGTCTTGATAGCTGGAGAGTGCTTGAGGTGCAAGAAGTACTCAGCGACCATAATACTATATAGAGTTTTCTGTACATCCAAGCCGAATAAGCAGGGTTCCTGGTCATAGAATGTCCGGTGTATCTGGGAAAAAGACTGGGGAAAAGCTGGATACAGGAATATGTTGATTTAAAAAGTGAGGAGGATTTACCAAGAGTTTTCGTAGAAGTTTTTGGAGCAAGGTTTTGTGAGATAAGTCAAGAATGAAAACCAAACTACCCGTGGAATGAAAAGATTACTCGAGTCGACCGACATGTAACCGAGTAAGGATGAAACCCATGAAAGCAAAAGCTGGCGACAACCTAGGCGTTTTCCAGTTGAGGGGCGACAAAAAAGAGGAAAGCGGAAAGAGGATAGCAAGAACAACTGCCGGATCAACCTTTTGCAAGAAATACGGGAAGACTCATGGAGTTGCCCTTATACGTTCGTGAGAGAGAAAGCAATGAGGACGAAGATGTATGTTCTGCTAGAAGAAGAAAAGATGAAAGTACCAAGATCCTTGCTTTAGCCCCATAGCCTCTTTGATCGAGCTGAGTTTACACGCCTAGACTCTGATGAATAGATCTCACCTGTTACGAGGGGATAGATATTGCAAGCAAGAAAATGAATCAGAAGAGATAAAGCGCCGGGTCCGGACAGGTAGTTACAAGGACCCTTTTTAAGGACTTCCCTAACATAATCGCTGTAGTTCCCACGCGGATTAGAAGCTTAGGCCATTTTCCACTAAAATGGAAAAAAGGTAAGGTGCTTGTTCCTAAGGGCAAAGCCTTTTATAAACATGTACGCCTGCTAGGGACGCGGACGCAAAGAATTGGGACCAGAATAGAGCAAAGATTCAGAAACGTTGTTGAAAAGAGTGGTTTCCTGTATAAAAGTCGGTATAGCTGTCGGAGACGAAGGTGAGTCTGTGAAAGACTAGAGATACATCTTTCTTCATCCCAATAAAGCTGTCGAGCTTTTTAAAATGGAACCAACAAAGCTAAAATCCGCAGTAAATGACTTTAACCGAAAAGGCCTAAGTAAACGTTCTGCTACTGTTTAGGTGTATGTAGCTTTGCCTTTAAACATTCTATACGTAACGAGTAACTGCAACGCTACTTAGACCTGTCAATTTATGAACGCAAAGATACAGCAAGTCAGTTCTTTCGGCTCACCACAGATAATTCCGCTATTGGCATAGTCAATGTCTGACCTAAACGAAATGATAATTTTCGTATATTTATTTGCGAATCCGAACTGATGATTTTAGGGCAAAAGTATAGGCCTTCGAGGAAAGTTTCAAATACAATTTGACGATCTACCTGAGATTTTGTGTAGCGATAGCAGGACGTTACAGAAATACTGAAATTGCTTGGTAGCCTTAAGAGTCAGCCTGCGAGAGAACGGTCGAGGACCGAATGTGAAGTGGACACCATTGCAAAGAAGCCCTAGAGTAACTTGTTTCCTTTATGTATATAGGTGTAGTTCGAAAGAATGGCATTTCCTTTAGAAATAAAAACATAACCGTAATCTCTTGGAACTCGATTGAGCCGGGCAGGCAAGCCAATATTTTAGGTAGTTGTAAAAAAGAAACAGATCAAAACATTAGAAAAAAAACCCTGCACAAAATGTACAATGATGTTCTACCATTTAACCGGTTCGAATTAACTAATCAATTAAGTATAGATCTTGATGATGGTTACCTTAAACGCATTGAGTTGCTCGCAAGGAACCGGGTGGACTCAACCCCGTAGAAACAATCTGTTTAGACATCTTTCAAATATTTTGTCACTTTGTCTTGCAATTTGAGAAGCTTGCCGTAAAATTGGTTTGACTATTATTACGTATAGTGTCATACCTTTTACTACATTGTTTAACTGTATTTGTTTTTTTTATACACCGATGTTAGTATTTAGTCATGTTACTGCTACGTGAGTTGAAAGCAACCGCTCGTTAAAATTCTGAAACGAAATCAGTTTCTGTCAGCTTGCGCGGTACCGACGTCAGAAAAATCAGCCTTTTGTATTCTGTATTTTTTAGGTTTAGAAACGCTACGCTCCAATTGCCAGATTTCACTATGACTCTTTAAGTCACAGTAAAATCTGACAAATTACATACCTACATTAGAAGTACAACCAACCGGACCTTTTAGCATGAATTTGGCAAATATTTTGGATATGCCTAAAACTCTACCCATTTTACAATAACCGCTTGTAGGCTAGTCGCGCCTTTTGTCTAGCGAGGCAATTATCGAGAAGCAGACACACATGCCATCAGTTGTGTGTCTCAGGACATAAACGTCCCTTCACAGTAATTCAGCGTTGCAATATTTTTCTTTTCTCTAAGGTTCACCTTTCAATGGGGGTAGCTTTAAAATGAATTCGAAGTATATAAACTGGCAGAAGAACCTGTAACAATTGAATTTCTCTCGAGATGAACGTCAGCACTACAACCTTAGAATCCACATAATCTGGATCTAGTCGTTTCCTTCGAGACAGCGCGACGAATGTCCTCGTGGTGCCGTATCATTTTTTAAGGTTCTTTAAGTAAAAAATCTACTTTTTAAGGTTCCGTATCATGCAAAATCATCTCCGCTATCAATTATGACATTGATATTAAATTGCATTTAGAATAATCGATGAATTAATAATCTCGTGTTAACCTGCGTCGTCTCCTTTACGGTGACCTCATTATCGACTAACCTAATTAAGTGTTCACTCGATCATTTTCAGGGTTCTTTGACTTGCTGGTCAAAGGAGGGATGACCCTCCGTTCTCAAAGGTCTTCTTTCTTTGGATGCGTATTGACTATGGTTCATAATTCATGGCGGGACACACTCGCGACAACAAAAAGGACTAATTCATTTATAAAATTTGCACAACTACGAATACTTTTATGATGACAAACACCTCTCCGTCCTTTCGTAGCATGGACAACCAACGCCACCTTATCCGGTTTATTATGCACTGCACGATACTATAGGGAACGTGCAATCAAGCCAGTAAGTTCCAAGTCGGCTGATATTGAAATATGCAGACGTTACCGGCGTTTCTGTTGGTTCCTATAAGCCTTAAAAGCTATCCTGTAGCTGCTAAAAGATTGCTAGAAAAGGCACGCGTTACAGCACGCTTCATTACAAAGAGCTGCCTTCCCCAAACAATCTACTGTTAATTAAATTCCCTAGGAAAGTCTACCTATTTTAGAAAATCTAATTTAAATATGTATATACATTTAAAGCAAATAGCGAAAAAGTTATTATTCATTTAATATATAACCTAATATACAAATTTAACAGAGAACACTGACACTCGTTAGAGATTCCCCCTAGAAAAGACGTGATACAGAAGGAAAAAGTAATTTTTTAGAAGATTACTCAAGTTGGTGGTCAGTGCCTTTTCGTTGAATCTTTTGATAAGAAGGTTCCTCTATGAACTCGTTTAACGTTCGGTGATTGTCATTGGTCACAACACACTGCTGTAGAATTTAGAGCACATGCTTACCAGTGATTTTGGCTAGTTCATTCAACTTCCTTGACACTCATGAATCAGATTCATTATTTTTTTCTATAGCAACAGACAACAATAAAACAAGTGGACCGAGAAAGCTATTTTATGGGTGATACCAATAAAGCAAATTACGGCTATAACCGCCGTTAAGCAAACAAACCGTATACCCTATAAATATTCATTTACAAACCGCATCCAATCAACTCATCTTTGATTAATTGTTTTTGCCCTCTGTGCAGTCTATGATAAGATCTATAAACAAATATGTACACGATTTGGATCCTTTACTCTGATCTAGTATTAAGTTACTGGCGCTGTCGTCAAACCTTTATACAGACTTAACAAATATGTGATGCGCATAAAAGTAAAGGACTACTAATATATCAGCGCTAAAACGGATTCGAGCCTTCTTCGGCTTACAAAATTACTTTCAAACGCTCCGTTTCATAGTTCCTGCACCGAGTTTGACGAGACACACCAGGTTCGTTACTCATCCCTCCAAACCTTTGCCAATAGAGAAGAGTCGCCATCGGTGCGATTAATAAATCATCACGATAAGAGCACGTTGACGGCATAACGATCGCTGGCAGAGGCAATCGCGTCAGCGCCGGTGTCGGTGATGATGTGTACTCGAAGTGATACTTCGTTCGCCTTTCGTTCTATCATTCAGTCATTTACGGGATGGCCCTCACCTATCGCCGGCCTGAGCTCAGCTCTCTTACCGTTTCTTTTTCTCACTTCTATTCACGTTTTTCTCTAATGGCCAACCAGATTTTCCTCGGGACGACATATTTGGACGACAACACTGCGCGCGCATTGCATCTGCGGCAAATAAAGGACGGGACTACATCATCCCAAACGTCCAATAAAAAAAAAAGTTACTCAAAGGTAATAGTACCTGACCAGCGCATCTTAGAAATATATACTGTATATATGATAGTATTCTTCTTATACAATTTTACTAAATTATATCAATTCAAAATAATATTGAAGTGTTCTGCAAAGATGTTATTAAGACGACGCCGGATTGTCACTTTTTGTACAGTACATAATAAGAAATATTCGTTGAGAAAGTAATTTTATCCTTTAACTGTAAATACAGATCGAAATCACATGGTTTTAGCTATAGGCAAGCTTCCTTAATTAATAAAACGTGTGCTCGTGCCCGTTACGGGTTGAAAGTGGCGGGCTTTAAATTAGGCATATTGGACTCTGTCCAAGGCCGTACAAATGCTCTCAGGTAGATGAAACGCTTTCCATTATTAAAGGAACAAAGATTCTAGTCAAAGAAAAATAGAGCAACAAGCACATCGATGAGCTCGACTATGCGATAGGAAGCTGTACTATTTCCTTGGTATTCGATTTGGATTTATAAATAATAGTATGTCTTGCCTACTGGATAAGGTAAATGTGATAAACCTCATTTAGTATTTTGGAGTCGAAACAAGGAGGTTATTCTGCACGCTAACTTCACAGATTGTCCAAATTAATAACTCGGTAAGAATAACACTTCAGCATAACTTTTAGGAAAACGCAAAGTTCGGCAAAGTGAAGTCCGTGACCAGTCATTGTATCTTTCAAAACGGTTCGTGGCACAACCTTGTGTACTTACGCAGATTGGTCAAGGTGAGGAGGTAAATATGAGCCCACTTGACTTTGCCGGAGATGATAGTCGATCTTGAATGTGTTCGGGTCATATAACTTTCATTCGATCGAAGAATTGGCTGTATTTGTCGTATCAATGCTAAGTTAATCGCTGCGCTCTTTAATACATTATGATGTGCTCCATACTGCTCGCCATGATCAGGTGCCCAGAGGTTTACTTTACCATTTGCTTCTGGGTCGTATTCGAACAGTCCAAGACCGCTTAATACAAAAAATAGCACATGCAGATAGGAACTCGTGATTTCATCAAAATTTCACTGAAGCAAACCTACTTTAAAATTATACAGAAGCGATAACTTGACGAAGAAATACGCCAATATATTAAGTTGGCAGATATTGTTCGGTTCGACTAGCTCTTCCCTTATATATCCTTTTATTGGCGCTTCGTCTTTCATGTGCTGGCTAGTAATTGCATTAGAAAGAAGAGCTCAATTAACTACCGAACCAATTAGTAGAGTCTTTGCTTGTAATAAGCTTAATACGTGCTGGCTTCAGTGTACGCTATTTATTAAGAATACATATACGTGCATCGTACGTAAATAGACACAAACGGCAGTATTATATTGTCACTTGTTTTATTAGATGTGTTACTAGTTAGCATTGGAATATTGAAGGGCGTAAAGCTAAAAATAAAATCGTCCAAGCATTAAAATAGCTCGATTTACGTTGCAATAATTACGTTGTTGTTGTTATACGAGCTCAGTGATTTAATTTAGCCAGTTCCCTGAATGGGTCCTACATTGGGTCAAATCAGCACGCGCGTTCTATGCTGCAGGAAACGAGTAACAAGCTATGTCCTGTTCCCAAAAGGGAATTTCGGTTATCGATCACTTTACAACAATAAACCAAGCCCCTAAAACTCGGCAGTACGTAAATTGCCTCTGAGGGCTTCAGTATCAGCAACTCAATAATAATTATTGTGATTCGAGTTGACCCTATGTACAGACCGAACAAAGTAAGTTCAAGCTTGCACACTGTCTAACTCGTCTGCCTGTTTGACCTTCTAGGTTACTGTCAGTTACATCTCAGTGGATCGTAACAAACTAATGCAGATGCATGTTTACGAGTATAGCACTGTTTTCATGGATGCTTCAAAATGTATATCTGATATGTTCTATACTTGAATACAGAATGTCCGAGATATAAAAAGAATACAAGCTGCTAGTGTATTTTGCCCGAAATTTTCGTTGAGCTACAACAGATAATAAATTATTTAGATTTATAAGAGTTTTATACTCTTTTTAAATAAAAGGATATAACTTCGTTAGGTAATCTTCGAGTACAAAACTTGTGTTGCATTAAGCACAATTACGTGGAACTGAAAGTAAGGAGCGCAGGTGTTTAGGGCTTATCTTATCTAAGCAGACAGTTGTAGAATGGCTCTAGATACTCCCTGATTAGGGACACCGTGGTCTAGGTTCGAACCTTTATATAGACACACTTTGTTTCGTACTGGGAACCAACCGTCCGACAGAATGCCTCACGACGTTGCCAGACGTAAAACTTGAAACACAGAGACACTTACTACGTATTATATTTGAGAGATTGTGTTTCCAGCCTATAAAAAAAAGTCGCTTTGCCTGCAATAATTTCCATTCTCAGGGTATTATTTGGCGAAAACTTCTCTGTGATTTTCGGTCTTGTTTTTGGTTTGCCGCAAAACTAAAAAATAAAGAAGAAGACTACGGGCATACCTGTATAGTGGTATCTTCCATTACTACAATGGTCATAATCAAGAGTTTTCGCTACCGCTGCGAAGCACACGAACTAAGTCACTAAAGAAAGTTTAAATTTAGACAGGGTCGACTTGGTGTACAGGATAGTACCCCCCTAATTCAGGCAGCGTGACCCACAAAATTCATCATTACGTTGATCAATATTGCATTAAGTAACCGATATTCATTTGAACTTCGCCCATTGTTTGTTATAATGAAAAATACTATTTAACAAACAAAGTAACTCGAGAGAGTTCGCATAAAGACTGCATAGAATTTCGGAAGTCGACAATATCCATAGTAAGACGTTACCTTTTAGATCGATTCAGTTTTCAGAAGTTAGTATCGTTGTGAAACCGAAATAGAAAAGTATATGACCGTCATACCTTCTCTGCAATAAGGCCTTTGCTGCAGTTGATTGTACTAGGTTTTTGTGAGGCGGTTAGAGATACACCTTAGCAGTAATAATACAGCTTTTCCTGTGCATCCCAACACCAGTCAGAGCACCGGATTAAATATTCCCACCTGTATACGGGGTGGACTGGCCGAAACCAGCATACATAGGGGCCGACCCCTTTCTTTTGAAAATCAGAAATGTCTAGGGGCAATTCTATTATATGTATTAGTTTATACATAGGGTCAGTATGTTTACACGTCTCCGTAGAACGGGCGCTGTATTGATAAAAATCAAATAAAAAAATAAATCGATTTTACGTCAAGGATTAATCTACAGCGAGTGGCAGGTATGATATAATTATATTAGGCTAGCTGAGAATCTGATGAACTTATTAGTCTGTTCTAAGGTAAACTTTTTATGGATCTACGTTCCAAACATTTTTTTGAAGAAAATGTTTCTTAGTGGTTCAAAGCAGAGGAACTTAAGATGAAAAATACTTTCAGACCTCAAGTTGTAGTTTTAAAACAACTATCCGGTCGTAGCTTTTCGCAACACCATCCCGCAATGTATGTCTAATGAAATGGATTACTATCTGCCTAACAAAGCCTTTCCCGCTCCTGCCGGTTTATACAGTCACCGATTTTTATTCTACGCTCGGCGAACTGGGATTGGAGCTTGATCTTTAAATTTACTCTCTCAAAGCTTTCAGATGAACCATTTTTGTATGCATTCCTTTTAAGCAGAACTGCAAGTGGGTCTGCAGTAATAAAGTCTCACAGGAGTGTACCTCACACGGTGCCTAAGTAGATATATCTGAAGAACTTATTAAGCATATTCGTTATCCTGGGGCTGTTAAATAGCTCTACGAGCTTTACTAGTTTAGTTTCACTCAAAACAACAGCTCGAGCAATGAGGACTATCAGTATTTTGGCGAACAGGCAATATTTTCATGTTTGCTCGCTTACAGAAAGCAAAACATATAAAAAAAAAAAAAACGTTAAACGCGAACTTTTTTGCAGATGTGCCACAGGGTACCTTCGAGGGGAAATGTGATCATCAGGTATTTCACAAGAGATACGGAGAGCCTTCGTTTCGATTAACCCCCTATAGAAATAGATCCAGTCTTTGAACAACCAGATGAGCAGAAAATGGATCGTTAAAAAAAAAAGTCCATGTTCCCTAACTGTCGGAAGGTTTGCACTAGCCTGAAAAGCGCAGCAGAGAACGAGTACGTAGCGTTTAGCCAATTGATCTCAAAGCTGTTACATAAGGCTCTTATAAGGAATAGTGACATAATCCGTTTAGTTCTTGATTACCGCAACACTTTAGTAATAGGCCGTTTTAAGTGAAAAGCACCATTTTTGCTCTTTATCATAAAAAAAGATTTGCTTTATTAGAAAAACAAATAGAGATCTAATCTACTACAATTTATCCATAATTTTTTAAAAGATACCTGAAATCTGTTCGACGCTTGCTGGTTTCTCGGCTGGTCAAAATTAATTCATGTCTTTACTGCCTATAAAGTAGGCGTTTATTACAAGGAAGCAGTTGGTGGATACGCCCTCCATGCCAGATTAAAATCATCTTTCACTGCTTGCTCCGTAATACAGACTACTGCGTATCCTATCTGAAACTATACTGTCGATCTGTGTTGCGCCTTTTGCTTATCAAACAAATGAAACAAATTCAAAAAACTTAACAGTATAGCAAGCTAGGCAGCACCACACGTTATTGAAACACCATAAACATTTCATTGATATTTTACATATCTGTATAAAATAAATTTCACTGGATAATGCCGTTTACCAGAACTGGTCAAAAAAAGAAATGATATTGTCACACTTGGCAATTGCCTGATTTTTTTTTATCTTAAACAAAAAATGTACTACAAAAGTGATATTTCCTTATACGTTTTTCTCTTAAGTCAGTTACGATTTAGTTATTAAAGCTTCGATTTTCTGAACGAAAATGGTTTGCATTTAGAGAATTGTCCACGGTGCGAAGGAACTGCAAAGTATTTTCAAGCTAAGTTGCTATATATTCAACTATTTTAGTCTTTTAAAAGGTATTTCCAGCAAATGAGCCTTGCCTCTATACCACAGGCCAGTCCGCATATCATTATTCTGATCAATGTTTGCGGACATCTAAGGTATATCAAACTACACTTTATATAAACCAGTATATCTAATCTAATCTTTATGTGGACCGATTTCACGGTTTTCAATGGGGTTGTAGAGATTACTATAACGATAACCAGGCGAAGGTTCAGACGAATTTCAATTAATGCCAACAACAGGGTAACAATAGTTGTTCGATCTAGCGACAACTGGATCGCGAAGGCACTTCCACAAACACTGATTTTCACAATTTAATCCCCGTTTCATAAGAATATAGCCGGCAATGTTTATGTGTGTCAAGTGTGGTAAGAAAGGAGTATCGTTTCTGTCCGACTCTATCAAACAGAAGACCGGGGATCTTTTCTGATCACGGTGGGATGGTTCGCTTCCCTGTCAATTTGATTTACCTCGGCAAGTGGATTTTCTTTGTGTTGTCTGTATTGCCACTTTTCGTTCTCAAGGGGTTATCCAACTTAGATGAGTAGCGATAGCAGTAACGGCAACCAGGATTTCACTGTCAGCACTGAGCGTCCAGATCGGGGGCAGGCTGCCGAATTATTTTGTTACCTTAATATATTTGTACCACACTCGAATAGTGTGAAATTCAATGATTCTCGAAAACCTGAGAAACTCCATTCTTAGTTGGAAAAATTAAGGACCGCGTTTGTCTGGATGCCGATTCAAAGTAACGAAAACAAACATCGATCTTAAAATAACCGAACGATTTCGCTGCCTTTTGCACGTAGTATATATATATATATATATATATATATATTCCAACAGAAACAAAAAACATAAACTGCTAACAATGATTTTTTCATTTCACTGAGGCAGTAACATTAGTGCACGATTCGCTTAATGTTGGCTCTATGGATATTAAACTTACATCGCAGTGACCCATTACTCTGCGCTTACCTTTTTTCATCCAGAAAAATTCAAATATGACCAGAGCTATGGAATTGGATAGACGAAGCTACATTTATTAATGTAAAGGTGATAAAGACCGTAAATTGGACAGTAAATGAAAATTCGAATAGTTTGGACCAGACGATCCACTGAACGATAGTACTATTTTTTATATGTCCGGTTGAACGATAACGGTAGCAACAATCAGCTACATTTTTATAGCTACCGTTTTTCGTAGAGGTCAAAGGTTGCACTTATAGGTTTTGATACTTTTTATATTGAAAATTTGTTTTTCTTATAGCTTGATCAAGAACGTTTCTAAGACTAGGTGTTTCTTTGATTTTAAGACCATTGCTGGAAAGCAATATCTTACACGTTGGAGACCCATGTCGATGATGATAAGACGTACACAAGCTGCATAACAAACGGCTAGCAATTCTTTCAACCAGCTCTAAATAGTCCCGATACTTTTAACTTATGTTAAATTATAAAATAATTCACACACGATTGTCAAGATCGATGCAAAATATCGTCAAACGATTTTTATATATAAATGCTGTATATGGTATTTTGATAGAACTTTATTTGGCAGGAAGTTAGGGAACAGTAACTTAAATCGCTATCTCTTCTTTTCATTTATAGTATAGAGAGTATAGAATAAGACAGCTTTTTAATAGGAACGTATGCCATAATGAGAAGTTTGTGCCAACAGCTTACTTCATTCAACTTACCCGAACTGATGGAATCACACATCGAAGTTTAATTAGTAAAATATGCCTCGCCGTAATGAATACCTATTGAAACCTACAGGACGGTTATGGCATCCATATGGTACAAAAGCCTGCTTTTCCTAGAAGAATACAGTTAAAACTACAGAGAAACATGCATTCAATTGACAAACCCCAGCTTCGCAAATTCTTGCAAAAGGAGCAAACACTTTACCTTCGTAACTTCGAAATTATCGTTCTGTTATTTCAGATCCGGTCCTGCCAGCTCAGTCCGACCTAACTAAATCAGGACTAATAAAATACTTCGCTAGCT